CAGCTCGCTGCTCCTCTGCGAGGTCGGCGCCGCAAGTCTCCAGCGGCAATGGGTGCCCTGCCACGGAGCCTGCGTTCAGCAGTCTCACGGCGCTGCCCAGGCGCGTGGTTCACATCGTCGAGCGTGCGCCAATCAACCTCGCGGGCGCTCTTCGTTCGCCGCCGTCGTTCGGTGGTTTCGTGGACATGGCCAATGGCAGTAGTCATGTCGCACCCTCAACGGACCCCCGGCGCGATCAGGGCCTCCGCCTCTGGACAGCCAGCGCCGCCGAGCTCCACGGTGCAGGAGGCGCCGTGGCGTGCGTCGCTGGCCCGTCGCAGGGCGCCGTGCCGCTGCAGACGGCGTGCCCAGCCGTTGTGTGTGCGCCCGCTGCAGGGGCCGACTACGTCAGCGGAGCCTCCTCAGACAACGGCTCGGACCTAGCCTCCTCCGACAACAGTCGAGCTGCAGAGTTCCGAGGCCTGGGCCCTCCCCAAATAGTTGCTCACTTGTTGTGGCATGTGGAATCGGCGAAGTGCCAGTGGCGCAGACGCGCGCGCTGTCCGGCGCTCGAGGTGCGCAGATTCAAGTCACGCAACAACGTTGTCTCCAGAAAAGGGTAAGGGTGGCGGGGGCGGCGCCCAGGGGTGCATGCCTCATGGGAATTTCAGATACTCGGTTGGATCAGGTACCCTTCGGTGGGCGGGGGCAGAGTGGGGGCGGGCGCTTTTCAGGCGAGAGGACAGGCGGGCGCCGCACGCCCCAGGAGGATGGCGGCGCCCTCGTGACGCGTGGCATTTTTGGAGGCGGGTGCCACTTTCGCGCGGGGCGCCTTCGCGGCGCCTCGTCGCCGCCGCAGGGGCGCGGCAGCGGCGGCGCGTTGACCGGTGCAGCGCCGCGGCCGCTGTCCTGCCTGCGGGCCAACTCGCGTGAGCGCGTTCAACGCGTGGTCGACGTGGTCGTGGCTGGCCCTCTTAACCGTGGTGAGGTGAGCTGGGCCGAAAACAAAAGGATTGGAGTGGGCGCGGATGCCATGTGGCATCTGCTTCGATGAGAATGCCGATTTGGCCCTTGCGGTTTTCCTTCAAAGTGGCCGCCATGCCCATCGGAGCTGCGCCGGCGCAGGGGCCGCCGCGAGCCTCGACGACGCCCGGATAGAAAGCGCCGTTGCGGCAGGGCTTGAGCGCCCTTCTCGAAATGCCCAGGGTGCAGGCGACGCCTGGTGTCGCGCGGGGTCGCGCGCGTCCTGGGCGCAGCCGCGCCCCGCGCGGCGTCCCGAGCGCGCGTGGCATCGGATGTCGACGGGGCGTTGGCCGCGCCGTGAGACGCGCCCATGGGCGAGATTATTCTCGGCGCTCCTGCGTCCACCTGGGGGCAGCGTTCGACGGCTCTGCCGGCGAGGGCGCCGCCCAGGTGCATCGCGGCCGCGCCCGGTCTACAGCCGATGAGTTTAGCGTCGTCTCTGACCCAGGTGCGTGGACCAACCTCGCGGGGGAAACGCTTGCGCGCCAGTTGCGCCTCCAGGCCGAAGAGGCAGCGCGCCGGCCGCGGCGTCGGTGGCATCTAAGGGGTTGTCAGTGGGGCCCAGGAGCGCGCCCGTCAGGTGCGCGCCCCCGTTGCCGTCGCGGATGATAAGGGCCGAGCTACCATCCGCAGCTTCGCGGCGCCCGCTCTCGGAGGATCGGGCAGAAAACTGGCAGCTCTACTAGGACTACGAAGCCTGGGGCCCGCTCGCGCGATCGCGGACGCGGGCCAGCGCGAGCTGATCCTACCAAGAGGGCGACGTTCAGATCCAATGGCCAGCGGGCGTTGTCCGCCTCCCGGTGCGCGAGGCTCCGTGCGGGCGCCTGGTAATGGTCATCGACGACTTTTCATGGGCTGTGCGGGCGCCGGGCGGAGCGCCCGACCGCGGCGCAAGTGCGCGCTCGCGCCGACGGGGCGGAGACGGAGACTGAGGGCCCGGCGCCGGCGGCTGCAGCGTCCCCTGAGGAGGCTGTGCAGCGGTTGATTTTCGGCCCTCAACGAGTTGAGGTCCCCTCAGTGGGCATCCCGGCATTTTTTGCCGGGGGGCCGGCGTCGCGTCCTTGCCGCGCCTTAGTGATGGAGCTCGCGCATTTGGTTGTTCGAGCTCTTGGGCAGCGCGGGTGGCGGCCTCGAGCGCTGCGTCAAGTCGCGCGATGTGCGGGCGCGCTGGTTCGGGGGGTGACGTGTCCCGGCCGCGTGTGCCGAGGAAATCATTGCGCTCTCGCTCGCGAGCAACATCAGCTGCGATTTGTTTTGTAAGAGACACAACTTACCCTGTGCCGCAATGAATCTGGAAACCAGGCTGGGTTCAATTATCGAGGTGGTCACGGGCCCAGCCGCGGGCGTGAGATTTGTCGCTGGCGGGCTCTGCCGGCCGGGGGGCTCGCGCCTGACTCCCGCGTCAAATCGCCCGCCAAGGCTGCGTTCCACGTGGTCGCGACGATTGGACTTTGGACTAGCCCGTCGCGCGCGCGCCCCGGAGGCTCGGTGCGCCGGG